GCAGATGACGCACACAAGCGGCGTCAGCTACCAGGCGGTGGCGTCAGACGATGACCATGCTGGGTCTTCACTGCTCGCCTACTATCCCGCCGATCAGGCGCTCGTCAGCAAAGACGGTGCCGGCCCGGAGTCCGGTGCCGCGCCGGCCGCCAGTCCGGCCGAGCCCAAGCGCTCCTTCAACCTGGCCACGCTGAAGGTGATGTTCCGTCTCATTGGTATCGGCATGAGCCGGACCGACGACAACTGGGCCCTCGGCTTCTACCTGGTGGCCATCATGACCGCTCTGCTGGAGCAGGTACGTCTTCTCGGGCATTTGCGCGCACTCATGTGCCCCCCCCCCCTCCCCCCCTCTTTCCCTCCCTTTCCGCGGCTTTTGCTGGCCCCGCTTCGTCCATCCCCAAACGCATGCTGAGTCTCTCACATTCGGAAATGCATTCCCCAGGTGTTTGTCTACTTTGTGGGTATGGTGCCAAGCACCATGTACATGTCCCTCGTCGGGCGTGATTTGGACATGTTCCTCCATGCCACGGTCAGTGGCTTGGTGAAGGTGATGCTGGTTGCTGTGGTACGTCCTTCCTCCTCGCCCTCCCTCGGGGTGTCAATGGCCGGGCTCCTTGGTATCATCCCCTGCAACGGGGTGTTCCTCGCCTGACGGTTGGCCGGTTGACTGACACCCGCTCTGCGCCTTCGGGTCTTCCCTTTGCCAGACCATGACCGTGTCGTCCCTGCTGCGCGACATGCTGGTGGTGCACATGCGCCGGCGGCTGACTCGCTACCTGCATGAGCGCTACTTCCGTGCCCACAACATCTTTGGCATCCTGCAAAAGACCGCCATCGACAATCCGTACGTGCTGAGGCGCGATCCGGCGCTTTGAGTCCCTCTCGCCCCCCTTTTTTTTTTTTGCGTGGCATCCTGCCACCGCTTTTATGACTCAGACCAACTGACATGACGCCCCATCATCTCTTTCATCGCAGCGATCAGCGCATCACCACTGATGTCCAGCAGTTTTGCGAGCAAACCGGCGAGGTCCTCTCGAAGGTAGTCATCTGGCCGGTGCTCGTCGGCTATTACACCTACCAATCGGCGGTCATCACTGGCTACTATGGGCTGGTACGTGTCTGTGGACGGTTAATTTCCTTTCCCCTCTCACCTCTCTTTCCCTCCCATCTCTCTTTCTTTCTTTCTCTCTCTCTCTCTCTCTCTCTTCCACACCCCTTCTCGCCACTCCCCCTGCGCCGGGGTCTCTTGGAATATTGACATCCTCCTGCTTTCTTTCCCTCTCCCAAGCTCCTCATCTTCCTGTTCTTCCTCATCTCGGCTGTGGTGAACAAAGTCATCGCCGGCATCTTGGTTCCCATGTTCTACGAGCAGGAGCGCCGTGAGGGTGACTTCCGGTGCGCATATACTCGCACATGTGCATCGTCCTTTGCGGCCTTTTGGCCACATGCGTCTCCAGCATCGCATTCATCTGACCGACCGCCTTTGCCTTTCTCTTTTTTTCCCTCTTCCCCCCCCCCCCCTCTCTCTCTCTCCCCTCCTGCCTAATCTTCTACCGCATGCCTCTCCAATGTCCCCTTCACCGGATTGCAGATACCTGCACGTGCGCCTGCGCAGCTACTCCGAGTCGATCTGCCTTGCGGCTGGCATCGACTACGAAAGCGAGCTCGTGGATCGGGCCCTGAACAACCTGATCTTCCTGCTGGTGCGCCTGGCACAGCGGCGTTCCATCGTCAACCTCTCGAAGAACACGGTGTCCTACTTGGGCTCGATCGTGAGCTACATTGTCATCGGCATTCCGCTCTTCACCACGTCCATGTATGACGACCTGGACCCGGATGCGCTGTCGGCCCTGATCAGTCAGAGCTCCTTCATCAACATGTATCTGATCTTCAACCTGACAGAGCTGTTGGCTCTGACTGACAGCTTCGCCGCCCTCGGCGGGTATGCCCATCGTGTGGAGGGTGCGTGTCTTCCCCCCCCCCCCCCCCCCCCCCTTCCCCTCCTCCATGGAGAGCGGGGGCTGCCCTTTGTCTTCCTTCCTTTGTGGCCACATGGCCCGCTGACTATTTCGTTCCCTTCGCCGGCTTGCAGAGCTCATCGACAGCCTCGCCGAACTGGAGAAGGGAGCCGCCACCGAGGAGGCATCTGCCACTGGTGGCAAGTGCTCCGCCATGAGCGGGTCCCTCACGTGTGATAGCTCCTCCGACGAGTCGCTCGCCAGTGCCGACCGGCAGTATGCCCCGATTGCCGATGCCCACCAGAGCAGCTTCTATCCGCCGGCCGACGAACACAGCGTCAACTTTAGGTATTTCTTCCTGGTCTCCCTCGGGCGAAGGCGCCCCGCCTCCTGCCTGCTTTGCTTCTCCCTTCCTTCTCTTGCTCTTTTCTTCCTGGTTCTAACCCCAGAGTCTTCCTTTCCCCTCCCCGAAAAGCGACCACACCTCCATGTCAAGCAGCCACGCGGAGATCGGCAGCGATGTTGTTTTCGCCGCTCGAGAGGTTTCACTCAGCCCGCCAATCAACCACGCGGCAGTGGCGGCGGCAGCGGCCACGGCCACCGGCGCGGGTGCCGCCCATGGCAACTGTCTGGACACCACGCCGGCCAAGAATCCGCCTCTCTTCTCGGCCCTCAATGTGGAGCTGACCCGCGGCAAGCACCTGGCGATTGTCGGTCCTCCGGGCTCCGGCAAGTCGTCTCTGCTGCGTGCGGCGGTTGGACTTTGGCAGCCGGACCATGGTACGCGCGGCATGGCCCCGAAAAGTATCACAGCGCAGCGCAGTCATCCGACTGCCTTTCCTCCTTCTGCGCCTTCGCACTAATTGCCCTCCTCTCGCTTCGCGCGTGCCACTGGGCGGGCTTAGGTGAAATCCAAGTGCCCGAACTGGAGACCTGCTCGCTGCGCAAGCAGCACCGCCTGAAGGCCACGCAGCGGGGCCAGGTGTCCCCGACGACCGAGCCACCCACCGAAGTCACCCCCCTGTCGGCGGCCCAGGATGCCGGGGCTCCTCCACACGTGAATGTCCTCTTCCTGCCCCAGGAGCCGGTCCAGGTGGTTGGCGATCTGCGCGCGCAAATTGTCTATCCTCTCAGCCCAATCCAATATCCGGGCATCCTCCCTGGTGCGTGGCCCCCCCCCCCCCCCCGATAGCTCCCTCTCGATATGTGTACATCGAC